CTATAAAATGGCATTTAGTATCTATAAAGGGGTTGGGGCGTTGGCAACTAAAATCTTTTGTATCTGTATGGAGAATTATCTCTTGTTGGCATTGAAGCACACAACTAGTTTACGTCTAGTTGGGTAAAATAAAATATGAATTTATTAAGGGAAGTACAGCTGGCTATACGCTTTCAATAAAAAAAAAAAAAAAAAAAAAAAACTACAGCAAAAGCTACGCCACAGTAAGTCTACAAAACATGTAAACAACCGAATCCGGGAAGTCAGTCCAAAACTGACAGAGCAGACAGCGACAAGCTAAAAACACGAATACCCAGGGGCAAAAAACAGGTCAGAATCAGAATATCAAACACTTACATGAACGCTAGAATTATTCTCACAGAAACAGCTCGAATAATCTGATGCTGATGGGAGGGAAGGTAAACAACATAAATAGCTACGGGAACCAGGTGAAACCGATCAGCGTTAATCAGCCGCCGGGCCAATTAGACAGGTGAGCAGGAGCAGATGAAAAAGCTCCAGGAGCATGAAGCCCAGCCTGCCTAGAATGATAATATTGAATGTTCTTTCAAAATAATTTTTGCTAATTTCCTATATAGGGAATAATGTCAGTCAATTTAAGATTTAAAAAAAGATGTACAGATCACATTTGTTTAAAAGTCAGCTTTAAATCCTAGAAATGTGCTGTTTTAGCCAAAGGCAGGAAACAAAAAGGTAGAACAAAGTTCTTCCTGGTGAGAACATTTCGTCCTTCAAAGGTCTCCTCCTACTGCTGGATTTAAAGCCACACGGGGAAAAATTCTGCTCTGGTGATGGATGAAACACAAGTTACAATAACCCCCAAACCAAAACCAGAATGATGTCATTTCGCTCTGGTGGCCCTGGGGGAGAAAATATCCATAATATTATGCATGCTTTTAGACAGTGATCTAGTTCAAACACTGGTCTGGTGGCATCCAAAACTCTATAAACCTAACTTTCTTTAATAAATATAAACCTTAAAGTAAAAAAGCTGACCTAACATGAACCAATATGAGCAGATGAGGAAAATCCTTCCTGCTAAATTAGGTAAAATAAACTTTGCCTCCATAATACCTCTACATGCAAACAGATAAAATGTTTAATTTCCCTCTTTGTATCTCATTATCGCGGCTGGCAGCATTTCAGAAACCTGATTCTGAATTTAAAAAACAACAAAACAACGCTTTGTGGCTTTGTTCCAGTAGAGGTGTGTGTTTATCTCTGAGCAACAAACAGGAAGTCGGCTGATCTACTGTTAATTAGTGCAGCTGTAAAACAAGTTTGGCAATGTTAAAAACAAGTTGCTACATTTCGAAAACTACGGTGTCCTTTTTTGTTTTAAAAACTTCCAAGTTTTTGATTTCAAAGCAAAGACTTTACATTTTGATGAAAACAAATGCAATAGCAGCCACAACTCAGTTTGGGCCTATTTAATTGTTTACACATATAAGATCAGAATATCAGAATACGGGACTTGCTGCTTCCCAAAGTCCAAAAACATGTCTGTTAGGTAAATTAGTGTCTATAAATTGCCCTTAGCTGTGAGTGTGTGTTTGCATGGTTGTGTTTCTGCCCTGTGATGGACTGGTGACCTGTCCAGGGTGCACCCGCCTATCGCCCATAGACTGCTGGAAATAGGCACCAACCCCACTGTCAACCTGAGGAAGATGGATGAATGGAGGGAATTTGTGTATATTGTAACTACAGTTTATACTATATAGAAGATATAACTTTATTTATAGTTGTGGGCTGGTAACTGATTTCACGCTCTTCAAAGGTTTTAAACAGCTATACTTTTAAAACTGATTTTTTTCTTTCCTTTTGTTAAACTAGCTCGCTGTAAATGTTATTTTAAATGAAATGTGACAGAAGTTGTTGGTGTTATTTTTTTTAAACTGTAAAGAGCAAATGGCAGCTGCTCCTTTAACTTTTGCTGAGCACTGCCAGTGAGTTTGCTAAAAAAAAAGGCTATATTTACTTGCTTAGAGTAGGAAATTTGGCTGACTGGAAACACCTGTTAAAATGACATCATTAAGTGGGTTATTCAATCATGTAATGTCTTAACATGAGTCTTTTTATATTGTTTTGTTTGTGCTTGCATGTTTTGTTTTCCTATTTCGCAGTGGCGGCCGGCCCATAGGGGGCGCTGGGGCACCGCCCTCCCTGATAAGAAGAGAGAAACGTAAAATATATTTTTAGAAATTAACTCATAAATGTCAGTTTTACTCTCTAGACTGTGTACCTATAAGCAAAACAAATTATATAAACGACATTTCCCTATCTACTGTCATTAATTTGTGGATTTCCACAGACAGACTCCTACCGTCTCTGTTCTGGGGGCGCTGCTCAGACAGCCCCACATTTGCAGAGAATCTGTCAATCATGTACTATTGCTAGGTGAATTTAATGGCCAATCAGCGTCTCGGAACTTTATGGTATTGGGGCGCTGAAAATACTGCACTTTAACAGGCTTCTGAACCCAAGCGCAGGTGCAGTCAGTTAGAGGGAAGATGGCGAATGTAACGAAGGAGATGCAGCTTCCACCAAATTCGGTGAGATCCTTATTTATCTACCCGTTTGCCAGAAGAACATCCCTGTTGTAGGATATGAACATTTCATGTCATGGTTATTGTGACTGTGACGAATCCACCTCGTCGCTTAAAACAACCTCTCTAACTTTGCGCGCCACACACACATTCCTGTTATACTGTGTTTGTGAGGACCAATACACTCGCGCTGAGACCAGTAGCTCCATTAACTTAAAACACACAAGCTGTCCTGGTTACCTGCTGGCGTATTGAGGGTGCACACTTAATATTTCAGTGGGGTTAGCCGTGTGTGTGTGTGTGTGTGGGTGTGTGGGAGGTGTGGGTGTGTACGTGTTTATGCTACGGGGACTTGTCATCTTCAGTCTGGCTGCGTCTTTGCTGGGTTCAAACCCAGTTTGGTGTAATTGAATAAGTCAATGAATCTGTGTAAAAGAATTAAGTTGTAAAAATTATTTGTTTTTGTACATCAATTGTTTGTGGAGGTAATATATGGACAAAACTGATTAATGAGAAGAAATCAGAAATAAGAGAGCCTGATGTGAGGGGCTTAAACTATTTAATGAGGGCTGTGGGAAGAAAGGCGGCAATTTTTGTTTTCTGTTTCTTTGTTACATTGCTGGTAACTGGAGGGAGGCTGAGGCCCAGAGTATCTTGTAAATGTTTAGTTTCTTTTGCACCCTGTTTTGAGTTTTTGAGCTCAATAAATCACCAACACCGGTAACCCGACTGAGACTGGATTCTTGGAGGCCAAAGAACCCCGTCACAGTGACCCAAATCATCACTGTTACTGTTATTATATAGTAAATTAAATCATTACTGTTAAATTGTATGTATTGTCCAATTGTTTATTTGAATTCTTATTCCGGATTAGTTGGAGACATACACTAGGCTATATCAGCCCCACCAAAAATATTTTTCACCAGCCGCCACTGCTATTTCGAATAACAAAAATAAATAAAAAAAAAGCCACAGAGTCGTTAGAGTTTAGATTAGAGCAGTGAGCATTTATATCATAATTTACACTTTTTGACATTTTGCACATAAATAACTTTGTAAACCAGTTTGTAAACAGAAGACAGGTATTTTAGGGGTTTCTCCTCTGGAGTTAAAGCTCTTACGGCAGAAAGAGAAAAGCTTTGGTCGAACATTTGAAACATTATGAAAGTAATATCAACTTCAGGTTGTTGAAGTGCACCTGCTACAGAAAATCACAGCTGCTGTAGTAACATTAAGCAAGGTCTTAATGCAGTTTTACAGATACTGTACACAGTGTATATGATACAAGCATCGGCACTGAAGGGATAAAGTACAAGGGGGTGGGGGTGGGTGGGGCAGTGCATAAAAGAGGGCCGAGGTGCTTAGGTGTTCTTAACAAGGCAGCAGATGAATGGGGCTGTTTTCTAAAAAAATATAAAACAAAAATGACAGCAACATCAAAATAAAATATATATACATACAAAACAGGAGCAAACACTTCATCATCGCAACGTATGTTTTCCCTTCTTCGGCATTTTCATTTTCTTAGTCCTTCTTTCCCTGTTTAGATTATTTTTGGAAAATAAAGCCAAGTGAACTCTGTTTTTTTTTAGCCAAATGAATTCAAATCCCAGATGGGTACATACGGTATTCAACAAAAAAAAAAAAAAAAGAAATTAGAAAACAATAGGGAAGAACAGGGGAAATGACGGCTATTCAGCTTCCTGAGTCCGTTATGTGCTACATTTTGAGCGGCCGTGCCGCTTCTTTGGACCGCATGAAGAGCTGCTCTCCAGTTCAGTTTGGTTTATTCTTCTTCAAGTAGAATAAATTGAATAAATAAAAAAAACTCCCACCTTCAGCTGTCCCTTTGAACACACAGACACACACATCATCACATCCACACTGAGGTAACTGTTGTGAAAAAAAAAATGCAAACAAAAAAGCCCTTTTTTGTCTCATTTAAATTCAGAAAAAGGACCTAGAGACTTCAGGGAAGGGATCCAGACTAAAATAAAGCTCTTTGGAAATGAACTAATTTATGTGCTGCACATAGGCAAGGCTTTCTGCTTATTTTCACCTGCTACTTAGTTTTTTAAGATTTAAATAGATAAGCCCTAAAAAAAAGGGACCCCTCTGCATTAATTAATCAGAGGAGAAAAAATATGGGCAACAAAAACCGTAACTATTTACAGAGAAATTGCCACAGTAAAAAACAAAACAAAAAACAAATCAACATAAACAGAAATAATGTGTCACCCTAATAGTCAGCAAATCGTTCGCTTATTGCTTTTAAAGACAACAAATAAATGTATAATAAGTTAGATTATACAACAACTAATTTATCAAAAACACAAAATGTTTAAAAAAGACAAAATCATTCACGTTAACGACAATAATAGAATTATATTAATTACACTGAAGAAAATAAAAACAAACTTTTTTTGGTGATTGTCTTGGAGTAATAAATGGTAACACCACTAAGTAGTCATGGGACATTGTCTCTTGCAGCCCTGAGTGTGTGAGTCCCTGATAGGTTCTAAGCCTGGCATGTTCATGGGGATAGCAATAGATAATTACTTATTTACAGCTGTTGCTCCTGGCAACAAGTCCACCATGCAGTCCAAAATCTATTTTTCATGTGTCTTGCACATAAAAAGAGTCTGTTACGCACGTTCCTCTGACTCCTGCTTGACAGTAATGCCAGCAGCAAGTGTTGGGACGGGGGTGCTATGGTGCATTTTGATGACTGACGTCTCATTCGGGGACTCAAACGCACCGTAACTTGCAGACAGAAGTTCACTGCCAGTGCTATTGTAACTGGGATGGAAATTAGGGGACTTGAGGTCAGCCTCCCTCCACAGCATCCCCAAGACCTGTTTCTCCAACATCCCATCCATATCCACACCTCCCTGCAGTTGCTCCAGTCGCTCGGCATGCTCGCTGATATCGAAGCGCTCGATCTCATCATTGGCGCGATGCGCCTCCTCCAAGGCAGCCTGAGTCGAAACGTTCGGACTGCCGGAACCGGAGCTTGCCGCCAAGCAGTAACCCTTGAGGTGTAGTCGCAGGCTAACCAGGTGGATGTAGTGGCGGTGGCAGTGGGGGCATTTATGGGGGCGTTCACGGGAGTGTAAGCGCTTGTGCAGCTTGAGGTGAACAAACTGGGTGAACTTAGCTGGGCAGAGTTTGCAGTGATAGGGCTTTTCCCCTGAGTGAAGGCGCAGGTGGGTTTTCAGGTTGCTGGTGCTGCTGAAGCGTTTGTGACAAACCTGAAAAAAAGAGATGACATTAGCTACGTTTAAGCAGCTTAAAGCTACCTGTGAGTAATTACAAATAAACTCCACAGTAAAATCAGTTTTTTTTTTTTAGAGCATCTAATCTCACCTGGCATTCATGTGGTTTCTCCCCAGTGTGAACCAGGTAGTGTTTCTGCAGATGAGCAAGTTGAGTGAAGCCTTTGTTACAGGTTTGACATTTGAATGGCCTTTCTCCACTGTGCACCCGAAGATGAACCTATGAGTTAACGGGAAATAAAGAGCAGATGTGCTTAGGTATTTATCAGATAATACCCTTGATTCATCAGGAGGCACACTTTAGTCCTTAACGTACAAAAAACATACTCTACTCCCTACTGATTGCACTGAAAGTCCTTTACAGTGTAGGAATGATAACAAGGTAATAAATCAGATCAGCAGACAGGATGTCTTACCTTCAGGTTTGACAGCTGCCCAAAGGTCTTACTGCACACGTTGCACTCGTACTTAATTTTGCCATTCTGCTTCTTCAGAGGGTAAGGCAACGCCTTGTAGCCCGCTGACCCTGCGCCACGCTTCATTTTGGTCAGATTGATAGCCTCTTCATCTGGGTGACGTTCAATAGTGTTTCCCACGAGGGCTGAGGTAGGCTTGGTTGGCACCTGCTCGCTGGGTGGTGCTGTGCCGGCAGTTGGGGAGCTGCTGGACGGAGTGTGAGCTGGTCCGTGTGAGTTAGGGTGTCCAGGATAAGAGCTGTGGGCTCCCGCTTTGTCCCTCAAAGAAGTTGCAGTTGAGAAGGCACTTCGTGGCCCGGGCAGAAAATAGTCTCTGTTGGCAGAGATTGAGGAGGGGTGCACAGGTTCAGGTATAACAAGGCGCCTCGCTGCAGTGTCAGAAGGCAGGAGGGGCAAATGAGGGGGCAATAGGCTGCTGTAGACTGGGTAGATCCTAGGAAATATCCCTCCCACAGCCGGGACGCCACCTCCGTGTATAGGGTAATGATGGGGTAGAAGGTAACGAGAGTACTGGGGCCCAGGAGGGTAGAATGAAGAAGGGAGTGGGGCAGATGGAGGGGAGTAACCAGGGTATGGGTAAAAAGAAGCTGGTGATAATGCTGGACCAGAGGGGCTACTATGAGGGCTGGTGTCTGGGCTGCTTCTTGCAGAGGGGCTTGGTGTTGCTGAGGACTGTTTGCCAGGGGAATGAGTTGAAGGGTAACTGAGTTGGCTGGGTTTGAGCATGTCTTCAGGGAGGGGAAAAGGGGGCCTGAGCGTCGGGTAGCGGGCGAGGGGGTACAGGGGCCGCTCCGGGCTATCGGCACAAAGTGGCCGTGTGGGGAGAGGGCGGCTGGGCTCCCTCTTAGGGGCAGAGGAGGATGTGTTGGTGCCACGCAGAATGGACAGGACACTGTGCTCCCTCTTGGGCGGACTGGGAGTCATTGAGACAGGAGATGTACTGGATGTTTCAACTGAGCTGTCCTCTCTGTCCTCCTGTTGCTGCTTTACTTCCATAAGTGACTGCTCTGTAAAGACAAAAAAAAGAAAAAAGTTATCACAAAGCAGACAATATTGGCATAATTATCTCAACATATAGGCTTGAGCCCTTTAAATCGAACACGTTTTCTCAGTTTTACATCAACTTTTACCTTAAAACCAGATTTTTCTCTGAATCATTCAACATATAGTTAAAAAAATCTTTCTATAAAATACAGATAAAAGAACAAATGATAGAATCATATTTGATTTAGGTTCTTCATAACTATATTTGAATTGAACAGGATGTAAAGCACCTTGTGATGGCATTTGATATGATTTAAAGTTATATAAAAAACTGTAGTGAAAGAATGAACACCATAACTAACTCAATGAACTAATTAGGACAACTGAAGTGATAAACGAGGGTGAGGGGCAAGGTAAGGAGCAATCCACAGGAAGTGAGGCGTGACATCTGCCTTTGGGGCTTGTATTTGTCGGGCATGTGATGCGTGTTTGCCTATAAAATCAAGATAAAATCAGAATGGTGGCAGACAGACAGACAGGAATGATGGAGGGTTTCCTGCTGCTGATATCCTCAGAAAAAGCTTGGCCTCCACCTGCCCTCCCCAGAGCACACACCGACACGCCCTGCACCCTTTGACAAGGTACACACACACACGGAGGCGCCTGCAGACAAAGGCCTCTGTCTGATTTGTTGACTCTCCCTCTTCTGAACAACTTGCACACACTCCTGATCAAGCTCATACACACCAGCTTTTCCTGGCCATTTTCCTGGCCATTTCTATTGTTTCCAGGTCGAAGGGTAAATTAAACAGCTTCCTCTCTTTAGTCACTCACACCTACTGCTGCCTCCTCATGATGAAAGAGCAGATTAGGGAGGGGAGCTCGCTAACACGCATTCTAAAAGCCCCTGGATGTCAGTTAGCTGCACATCTCGGCTGCTAAATTGCCACAGAAGAGCCTTAAAATGCATCAGTCTATTATCTTAAAGCTCCTTTAGTGCCCGGCTAACTTTTTAACCATGAGGTCGCCCAGAGGGGACTATGTGTGTGTGTGCATGTGAGAAAGTGTGTGAGAGAAATCGAGGCTGTCAAAGAAAATCCCAAATGCAGCACTGGTGAAATTTACTTCTCTTCCCCCTATTATTCACCTCCCACACACACTCAGTCAGTGACCCTTTCACCAGTAATAACGGCAGTGTGTAAACACTGGGGTTATCAGTTAGCCTTCCTCCTCCTCCTCTTCCTCCTCCCTCCATCCCTCTTTTAAAAAACAAACAGGTCAGCCATCTTGGAGATATCAATCTGTCAACAGGGCCCTTCTGCCAGGAAGTTCAAGTAGTCAGCCGAGTGGATGGGAGGTGCAGCCCCGCCAAACCCTCCTCTGTCTCCTCTCAGGTCTCTTTAAGTGGCACGTATATATCAGAGTTATTGGCCCGACACAAACACACACACCCCCACACACACATACGAGCTCCTTATGTGTGAGCTTGCATATGTTTGAGATGAAAAGGAGGGTGTAAATGTGTCGGCATGTCGCCCTTATAGTAGCCTGAGTGTGGGAAGAGAGGCTGCTCTTTGAGTATCTTTGAAGACACAAACACACACACTCACATGGATGACAGGTGCTCTCGAGTGCTAAAACTTGAGGAATGCAAGATGACGGCAGCAATAAGAGCGAGTGAAGTAGGAAGAGGAGAAAGTGAGGGAGTGAGACAGCGATACGTGCTCAGTCATTTTACTCACACATACACACATGTCTGGTTTTGTCATGACTGTACTGGAAAGAGGCAATGCAGAGAGAAATGATACAGGCAACAGTTGGTGTCTCTTCCCACCATTTAGGAATGTGATACAGGATGTCATCTAATTTGGGCCGGAAACTTCGGCACCCCCCTTAAGAGAACAGGCCAAATTTTGCATAAAAAAGAAAAAAAAAAAAAGAAAAAATTATTTATGTGTAAGGAGCAATGTTGTCCGTGTGTGCAGAGGGCTAGGAAATATATTAATATTAGGTGGAAATGATGTATTGATCTATTCAACTTTAATGTATTTCACTGGGATTTTATTTGGTTGACAACACAAAATAGCTTTATATAAAAAATCCGCAAAGCATTTGTATTGAACCACCTCCTTATGTTAAGATTATGCTTAATAACTGGAAATATAATAGTGATTTTCTCTAGCAGCATCACACATGTACATTCTGGAGACTTCACCCATCAGTGCTCTGCTAAAACACTCATGTTTACCTAAAATAGGTTGCATATCAACTCTTGCCTCAGATTTGCAATTGATTTTTGTTTAGACATGTACATTAGTTTTTTAAGAAAGCAGTCCCAAAGCATGATACTGTCGCCTCCATGTTTTATGTGAAGGATTTAGTTTTAAGGCGTCTTGTTCATTTTCTGTTTTATTAAAACACAAAGCATTTTCCCCGTAGGCTGCAAAGGTCAAGTTGTCCTGGTAGATTTCTAGTTGGTCAACATTCTTTTCATTTTCTGACGCCTGGCAAGTTGAGGATATGTTATAAAGTCTAACTCTATTTTAAAGCTCTCTAAAGCTTATTTACAAATGACACATATTTAATGTTTGGTTATCTCTGAAAGAAACTTGGTTATCCTGAACTGTATTTATAGGTTATTGCAAATGTGCACAAATTTGATTGTTTTCATCCATTTTATAGTTGTGTTGCATTACTTTGTGTTGGTCTTTTATGTCGGATACATTTAAATACTTTAAAGCTTGTGGTTTTGACATCCCGAAATGCACATTAGGATCAAGCTGTACGAGTTTTTATGTAAGGCATTAAAATAAAAGTAGGAATCCACTAAACATCTTGTCCATGTGTGATTAGGAAACCAGGCTGTTCCAAATTACTTTCATTTAAACCCACGCTCCCCTGCCTCTGACATTTAAACACGAAACATTAGATAGCAGACATCCAGCCTCAACTATTAGTTTGCAAATTATTCATATTCATCATATGCAATGAAAACGACTTATCTTGCCAGCTTCCTTGTCTTTTACCTTTTGCCCTTTAACTGAGTTTCAGTCTAACGTTACTTAGTCAGACAGATTGTGGTTCTCTTGGTTTTACTCAGCCAGTAAGATTATTTCTTACTTCGCTCTTTTGCAAACCGCTGTAACAGACGATTGTTATACTCGTTTTAGACATGTAAATTCAGATAACTGAGAAAAAAAAAGAGGAAAAGCCTTGAAACTTAAAGCTCTTGGGCACAGAGAAAAGAGCGCTGAAAAGAAAAAGAAAAAAAATCCAGGTAGAAAAATGTATTTTAAAGTCAGCTACAGGTCAGCAGAGACCTGCGGGGGCTCAAATGACAGATGAGGCTAATTAAAGACAACTCATATAGTAAGTTCACAATGTGTTGAGATAAAGGAGGGGGATCAGGGGATCCCTCCTGTTTCTGTCCCCCGGGACATGCGCATTTTTCTCTGGGTAGTGGAGCCACTCTGGCTGGGTGTGCTGGTTCCTCTGCCACCTTAAGACTGCTATTAGCCTCCAGTCACACCTGGAAACCACTCAGCTCCTGCTCTAAGGCTTTGTTTTCCTCCGAGCTCTCCCACTCTTTGATCAGCTTAGCAAAAGGGGACAAGCTCAGTCAGACTGCTTTGTAAAAATCTGCCTGTAATGCAAACTATTCTGATTTTCAAAAGAAAAACCACAGAATCATGACGAAAACTTGACATCATCAAGTCAAATTCCTTGTAAGTGCAAACCTACCTGGCCAATGAACCTGATTCTGATAAAACTTGCAAATATGCTTCTTATTATAAAAAAAAAAGGAATGATAAACTAAAGCTGACTTTTTTCTACATAAAAATGAATAATGAAGACAGAATCAAGATAAAGCACTTTGTCTGTGTTGCTTTTATTGAGGTTGAGCAATACTGCGTGTGTTTGAAAACTTTTTATGTTAAAAGGTTGGTCTTTAAGTAGGACTGTGGCATTAGGGGCCGTATACCCCTGTGTGTAATTACACTGTCACTGGCACACACACACAAGAGTACAGTGATGGTAGATGGGAGATGAAAGGATGTTGGTCTTGTACTTTTGTAAGTGTGTGTGTTTAAGAGAGACAGAGAGAGCGAGATAATGACAGACTAACGCTGAGAGAGGAAGGAGACATAGCTACACTCAAAAACAGGCTTTAATAGCGGCAACAGGACACATCCAAGACACATGGACAGGCATGGCTGATTGGATTAATGTTTGCTATGCAAGGCGGTCACTCCCTTAGGGTTTTAATGAAAACTTCCCGATCTCTAGAAGAGCTTTTAAATTCAAGAGCACAGAAGGAATCTTCTATTTGACTGATTAAATAAAGAAAGTTGTTGAACTCACTGAGTTTTTCCATCATTAGCTCGCCCGATGGTGGGTATCTCAGGCGGCGGGCAAAGTCTGGACAGTACCAGACGAGCAGCTCAGCGCCAGCTGGGACGGGCTTCACAGTGTAGAAATAAATCTCCATGCCGTTCTGGCATGCCGCCAGGTTCTGTTCTGCTGCCGACTTGGCCGGGTTCACGTACCGCATCCAGTTGGAGCGCGTCTCATCCAGACCGTCCACAAAGTGGTGAAACTCACCATCCACAAAGATCTACAGGGAAAGAAAATTAAGTCCATTTTTATTAATACAGTTTTTCTTTTAATTTACCTACATTCTTTTAAATAAGGAGAGCAAAAAAAAAGAAAAAAAGAAAAGAGCAAGAGTGTAAATCATCAGAGGACATTGAAGTCACCTACTGTGCCATCCTAGTGTAAATCTTTCAGTGAGGCACAGATGTTATTAAAACGTGTAAATTAATGTAAATTAAATCAGATGAACATTTATTTAACAAATCTAGTGAAGTACATGTAAACTTATCCGAACTTCTTAACCCTTTTTCCTCTTTCGTATCTTACCATCTCGCTCTGTCTTCATCACCTTCAGTGTGGCACAGAAAAGCCAGACAGAAAGTCTATCACAGAGGAGGAGATCCTCTTTTATATTGAAAAGGGAAAGGAAGGACCGACTCATTTTAAACCTACCACCCTTACCCTCCCCCTGTGTGTTTCTTTTTCATTCTCCCCCTATCTCTACCTCTCGTTTCTCTCATCTCGCTGCGTGTGAGAAAGTGAGATATGAGAATGAATGGAACCTTAATGACTTAAGTTTCTGCTTGTGGTTACACTTTTTCTTCTCATGCGAGTCAGACCCACTACACACAGGCTCACACACACACTCACACACACCAGGGAGTGTGTAGGTAGCGACCATGTAGGTGGTTCGTGAGCGTGTGTCGTCTCAGTGTCAGTTACCGGTAGTGATGGAGCGTGCTTTAACTCTGTACGAGTGCGTGTTGGATTTACAGGAACCTGAGTGTGACATGTTATTTTTGTGAAGGTGACATCATATCCCCACACAGAGAGAAAAACAGCGAGCCCTGCTTCCTGTTCAACTGACTGGTTTTTGAAGTGTGAGACGTCACAGGAAGGGGTCCCTCCGGCTTCTGAGGAAATGTGTGTGTTTTGAGCCGGCGTACTCACCCTCCAGAAGTACTTCCGGTTGGCGTCTTTTGGGACACTGTCGGCCGTGTAGATCTCGCCCACCAGGGGACCGAAGCGAGTTCCTTTGGGGATGTACTCCCTGCTGCTCACCCCGACCACCTGCATGCCGGCACACAGGTAAAGAGTGTGTATGTTAAATATGGTGAAGTCTGCCTCTTTTCCAGCAAACTGTTGTGCACATCCATCAGTGTCAAGTCTCATTAAGCCTTAATTCAGACGCAGAAACACACAATCAGCCAGGTGTCGGCGGAGATGATTAATGAATGATAGGTACACTTCACATCACCTCGGCTCCTTTTATATGGTTTAAGAATAGCTAAAAAAATCTTTCCCTTTTTCTAATCTCTTTTATTTTCTCACACCTCCACTGTCACCTGATCCAACCCAAACCACTGCCTCGTCAGACACTTCAGAGGGAATACCTCGAAACTAAAAATATGTTTTTTTTCTCTTTTTTCCCCCTCTCTACTGCTTGATTTATTCAAAGGATAAATTGAGAAAAAGAAGGGTGAGGATAGAAAGGAGAATTGATGCTAGACTTCAGCCATGGATGGAAGAGAAACTCTTGCACAGTTTTTTTCTCACTAAACCCACGCAAACACGAGTCTTTCCTAAACCCCTTGTTCTCCTGGTGACATGGGAAATACCCTTTTCCTATTTTCCCTCCAGAGGACCAGGCATGAGGCTAGGGTAATGCGAGTGCAACAACTTTAGCTCTTTATTGACTTATTTGTAAATTTTTTTTTATTTTTTAACAAAACTTTCATCTTCTTTCTTCTGACCAAAATGCCGTCTCCTTTAATCAGCTTGTTACATTCTTCCTCTCCTGGTGACACTATAAGTTCAGTTGATAGTGTATCAGTTTGCAAGCAAAACACGCTCCTCTTTAACACTCTCCTTCCCCTTCTTACCTAAGTTTCCTTTTGATAAGGCTCTGATGAGGAAATCGATGTGATCACACCGTTTCACTGATAAATTCACAGAGCCAAAATTGACACAGCTGAAACCTTTTGACCTGGAGTCATGCACTTTTTTTTTTAGTGCAAACGGTCAGGAGAAAAACCCAAAGCATCAGAAATATTTAAAAAAGAGTAAATAATATTACTTATAGAAGCAATAAGCCTGCTTTTTTTTTTCTTCATTTTAACACTTTAAAAGTGTATAATTTTGATCTAGATATCCAACCCCTGCTTCTGTTTTACTCTTTGACTGATTTACTATCGAAATAAAGAAAAAAAGAAAGTATTTCAATTATATTCAAAAAATGAGTTGTGGTTTTTAATTTAATAAGGAAGATTATGAGCAGAAATAAATATTTAATGTTTTAAATTCCAATTCCTAGATGACAAGTTTATAATAACCTACTCTTATCACTATTAAAAAAAGTGTACATGCCAGTTGCATGTAAAGGTGCTACACAGCGCCCCCTGGCAGCTGGCCTGAGTATTTTCACCTTGGTTGGAGGTTTTTGGAACATGACAAACTGTTCAGGATCAGATTTGATCACTGTAATCTTCTCTGCTGATATATGAGGTTTAACAGGCAGAACCGAGATGATGAAACGCGTTTTTGCGTAAAATGTGCTTCCGTCACCTTATATCCCCACTCACACACATTCCTTTGTGCCTGTGTGAGCATTTAAAAGGAGACATACCGCCCCTCTGCTCTCTGTTTCATGACCCACATCTGACTCATTCTCCTGTTAATGTACAGATGGCTTTTTCTGCCTCTACGTGTGTGAATAGTTGTGACTGGGGAGAAAGTTTTCCTGTCTGTGTGAGAGTCTGACCTCTTTGGTGCCTGCCAGGTGTTTGAGCACCAGGTTTCTGGGCAGCGACGCCTCTGCTCTGGTCGCTGTCATCGTGACGTCAGCGTCTGGCCCCGCCTCCCACGCCGTGTCTTTCACGATGTATGTGCACTTCTCCTCAAACTCGGCCTCCGTCCACTGTGTCATGTCAGCCTCCTCCATCTCCATCTCCATGTCCACGTCGGTGTCGGTCATGGTCTCTGCTCCATCCGAACCCGTGCTCGTAGCTGTGGAGGCCATCTTGTGGTTTGTGTCGTCTTGCTCCATAGTGTGCGCCCCCTCACTGGTCAACATGGCCGAGCTATGAGAGGTCGCCTGGATGGGGTAAGACAGAGGAAGAAGGTTATTTATCATCTCTGCCTTACAAGACAAAACATATGTATAAATAAAACTTCTGGAAGTGAAAGGCAATGGAGCTAGGATAAAATAGAAAGTAAAAAAATGGAAAAAACAAGACGGTACCATGACAAGCAGGAGCAGAAAAACACAAAATACAAGATAAGGAAGCTACGAATACAGCAAGTAAAAAAAAAAAAAAAAAGATAAGGATATGAAAGGGGAGGAAAGAGCTGATAAGTAGTAAAAAGGAGGCAAGAAAGAGAAAAATCAAGATGATGGACGATAAAATACAGTGATGAATAGAGACAAAGAGAAGAGAGGAAGATCTGTGATTATTATGTGTGGTGACTCAGTGGGTGGGTGGGGGGGCAATTCTGAGTAATGCTGTTGTCACACACAAACACATGTGCACGCGCACATACACACAAAGCTCACAAAGGATCAGGCAGTTAGCGTCTTGTCAGCCGTTTTGACTAAATGGGACCTTCTTTGGGAAACAATTCATTGATGCATAACCTCAATGAAATAATGACTGAATCTGATTCCTTCTATTTATGTTCTTTCCTCTACTTACAGAATATTTTATTGTGATGCAATTTTTATCCGTTTGTATTACATAAGAGAGCAGACCAACTACTGTTCTTAAATACAGCAAAACTTTCTAGACAACTGATCCATAAAAGACTAAACTTTTCTGTCGATATTCAGTTTCATACAGATTTTGTTCTACTTCTATGCACAGGAAGATGAGACACTATTCTGACTATTATAGTTTCCAAGATAAGCCAAAATATGCCTCAATCAAACCTGTTAATCAGCATTTTTTTCTCTTTCCTTTTCACTTCTCTATTTAATGACTCAAAGAAAATGTTTCCTTTTAGGCAGTTCAACTGTATTCTACTAATATTTCTGTAAAAGATGCGTAATTTACTCTGACATTACAAAAGTAATAATTCCCATGTTTCCGCGCTCTTCGCCCCCTCCTTCCCCGTATCTCCCAGGGGTTGAAGACGGAGGAAGGAAATTCTGTCTGTGTCTGAATTAAGCTAAAATTGGAAGCAGAGTGGCAAAGCAGCGGAACCGGCAAATCATCCCAACTCCCGGCGTGTGTGTTCTTGTCTAAATGTGTGTGTTGGTAATGGACAAGGGGGAGGCGGGTGGGAAGTGATGAGGAAGGGAGCGTCAAAAAAACTTTTCCATTTGGGGGGCCATGGCAGTGCAAACAAAACTTCAAACACGATCCCACCCAAGACAATCCCACACACACAGGAGCAGAAATCCACACAGGGGACAAACATGCTGCTTGTCCCACGCTGAAGAGCGGAAAGCGACAGATCTTCGGTGACCACACTTGGATCTGAGAAATTATCCCAGGCCACAAGAAAGAAAACGGTTTCACATCCAAGTGGCTCCAGCTGAAGCGAATGCGCTTGTGATCCCGAGAACAAAATGACTAACTGGCTGAAAAGGGATTTTAAAAGATAAGTTTGCTTCCTTTAAATTTTATTTCAATAGCAAATAAAAATAAAGTCTTCTAGGTTCTTGCAGAACTGACCTCCTTTGCTTGGGAGTCACATAAAAAGAATATAATCTATAAAGCATGAGTTAAAGTTAATTTAAGTGTCTCTATTTATTGAAAATAAATGGAAAAACAACAAAAAGTTAATTATCTGTTATTTGTTTAGTAAATCTAACAATGAAATATCTTTCTTTCTTCCAGAGAGCAGCTGCAAACTTACAGAGCAGCAAGTTCTCGCTTTATTTGCCTTTGAAATGAATTCAATCAAAACAATGATGACATTTGAAAATGTATTTTTCAATATCTCTGCCCTTAGCAAAACCCCGAATCCTGCCTTTGCATAACAGCTGCAGCATCGAAAACTAATAGTGAAACTAAGAACCAAGAAACAATTCATCTCTCGTGTATTTAGACCAACTGAACACATTTCAAAGCTGAGCCTGCACATTGTCAGAACAATTACAAATTTAAATCAACTTTAACATGTAAGGATGATTTAATCAGAAAGAAACTGAAAATAACTTTGATCCTCTTACTATTAATCAGTATTGATGAAGGCAATATATTCTATACAATTAAAGGAAAAAAACAACTAAATCCTTACAATTATGATGACTAATAAATTCAGTAAATAATAAAAAAAAAATGCTAATTTAACACAATTCTATAAATAAATCCACGAAAGACCTGAAAAAATGCAGCTAAAAGGCCCAAAAAGTTGCAAAGGGTCAATAATGAAACAGATAACCAAACTTATTTTAAAGCAGCTTAAGAAATTATGTTTAAATCAGCTCTAAAAGTAGATAAATATAGAATAAAGGGTTGAAAAATATCTGATTTGATGTAGCGCATCTGTTTTTGGACTTCACAACTTTTACTTTAAATCATAAAGTTTTTACAAAGTATTAAATGTAACATGTCCACATCAATTAAGCTCAGAAAAAACTGCAAAACTGCTCTATAGATTAGCTTTTTTTTTTTTTAGAAATGATGAAAAGTAAAGCTGATCTGTACTCACCGTGTAACTTTGGTCCCATCCACACATAGGGACGACCACTGGGATCCTCTATGGAAGGCTGCCTGTGAGGATAGGAGTCTTGTGTAGGACAGGTGTAGCTCTCCTGTTCTGCCTTCCCACTCTGAGTGCTGATACTCCACACCAAGCTCTCAAGTGTCTTTGAGTGTGTGTGGAGTCTCCTATCAAATGCAACATCTCCTCCCTCTTTCTCTCTCCCTCCTTGCTCTATCACTGGAGGCCACACCCACTCACAACTTCTCATACAGCTTTCACCTGAAAAGCTATAAAACCTTCCCCCTACATGCAAAACTAAATACATAACTTTATTTCTTAATCAAAATAAACATTTCTGTTAATTATAATCACCGGGTTGGGGTTTGATTAGTTCTGCCAAAATCACATTTTTTAACTCAAATTTGTAAAAATAAATTGGGTATACTTGTGCTTGGGTTGCGTGTAAAGGTGTGTGCGTGTGCTTTAAGGAAGTGTTGAGTCACTGTCACAGGATGTCCCTCTCTTCCATAAGATAACACACACACGCACGCACACACACACACCCCACACAGATCTGCCTCTAGGGGGCAGAACTGATCTGCACTGGTTTCTTTTGCAAAAATGAAATTTTAAAGCACACTCACTAACTCTCTTATGTTGTTTTTTGGCCTTTCTCTGTCACTCTCTTTTTAAGCCCTCTCAATAAATTGATATTTCTTTTTTTTTACTCTTCTGTTTTCATTTTTTTTTTCTAATCTTCCCTCTAATCTACAAAATTCAGTTTGTCTTTTGGATAAATTAATGACTTAAAATTCTTTCTAATATCTTAATGCTGAGAAAAACTCTGACTGATTTTAACCGTAATACGTATAAACGGTAAAAACTAAAATAAAATGAAACAACAATGAGCTGAATGAGTTGGATGTTTTTTAACAGGACTGAAGTGTCTCCAGTTTGTTTCAAAACAGTTTTTATTGAAAAACATCCAAAATGTTTTTTAGTACACAAACACTTTCCATATGCTTGGTTTTTTTTTTTTTAACTGTCCTTAAAAAGCATCTGGTGAGGAAAAAACAGGAAATATTTTTCCTGATCTTCCAAACAGCCTTCTACTTCCACTTCTACTCTACAGTCATATCTAATGCTCGCTGCAGTTAGAACAAAAAATGATCGAAATAATTTCACCTTACTCAAGTTTTTTCTTCTAAACTTGATCACCAAGTATGATCAGCTGTTATGTTTTAAGGTTCGGTTGCTGCTTACAACAACTCTTCTTTTCCCTCTGGTTTAAATTAACAAACATATCTCAGTTTTCCACTGAGCACTCCATTAAAAACAACAACAGTTTCTTTTTACCTATTTTTCTTATACAAAAACATGCTTAATTGATTTGTAAAAATGTATTTCGTTTCACCTGAAAGATGGAAATAAATATGAAGATTTGGTCTAATCAATTAAAAAACTCTTCCATCTGATCAGAAAAAGAGCAGAACGCTCATTCGAAATCCTCAGCAAGACATAAAAGTAAAGGCCTCCAAGTGTCATGGCACATAAATATAAAGTGGGTTTTCATTAAGAGTCTAAGTGCTTTGAAATGTTTAAGCTGTGATGCGTTTCATTGTTAACAGGCTTTGGCCCTGTATGCATGCAATGACAAGCACGAGGTGATAAACAATACATGGAGTCTGGATGAAATTATAAACATCTAGTGTTTATTAAGAAGTGATGCTTAAGAAATATATCAAATTCATATCTAAAAATTTGTCTTTTATGGATGTTGATGTCAATTCTCATACAATTCATCTTGCAAATTCTAAATAATTATGAAAAACGGTTTCATGCTTTTATTATTTTTCCATTTAACTTACCACCTACTGATTTTTTTTTGGTAAATCTGCTTTTTTTTAAACATGTATTTCTTTTTTATATCAATGCTCAATCACTCGCCCAGTTATAACAAAATCTCAGTCTCTTACTAACACTGGAAATTCCCATCTAATTGTTCCCCCTGACTCCCTTAATTTAACTCCCACTCCTCCACCTCCCTCGTTCCCCCTTTCTCTCCATCTTCCCTTTGATTTTGAACGTTGTATTTACAAAAATGATTTTCTGCACTCACCCCTCACGCTGCTTTTTCCATAATGTTTCTCTCAACCTTTTTTTTTTTTCTTCTTGAGGAAAATAAATCACGGCAGAAAAAGTCACTTGTTTGTCTTCTAACATTTTGAAGTTTGATCACAAAGTATTTATTCGTGCAGCAGTAAAAGAAAAGAAACAGCTGTGGGGAAAACAGTTTGTTAGACAGGAACAACAAAATAAATAGAATCTTACAAATGAAAAAAAAAAAAGCTTTGGTTTTGCTGTGGGAAATGAGACCTTGAGACCACAGATAATGTTCTACTGAGTCTCAGAAAGAAATGTTAAAAAGAAATGGAGTAACACTAATTAAATGAGTTGGTTTTAATCGTTTCTTTTGTTTTAAACTTGAATTCCTTGCTGAAACCTTTTTTTTCCCCTTTCACAAGGACAATTTTATAACAACTTCTAAACAGTTTCTACCTTAAAATCAACAAGTCTATGTAGGATGGTATTTATCTCATTCATTCCTACTAGAACGCTGTGTTAAGCTGTGTAATTGCTTAATTGCAACCTCCAGTAATCATTAGTGTCAGTGAAATGAGCCATCGTTTGTTTGAGTTTTTTGTTTCCTTTATAAATAAAAATAGAAAATGTTCATCAGGACAAAAGAAAAAACAAAAAAAAAACAACCAACAGGAAGACGAGGAAAAGACAAGAGACACCGGACTCTTTCACTCCCTCTCAATGGTGACAGAGGGTCTGACCACATCACTCGCTGCCTACTGCTTCCTGCCAACGGACGACCCCTACACACACACACACACACGCACACACAGAGCTGAAGATCTGTCCCACAGCTGTCGGACATGTTGATGCTCAGAGTTTTCTCCTTGTGCAAAACAACCAGATGCAGACAGTTGCCAGAAAACTGAGGAAAACATTTAAAACATGCAGTTGAATTAATGAACTTCTTTTTTTTTTTGGGAAGCATGATCATGTTTTCCACCATTGTTTGCTGTCATTTGAAATAATAAAAAGTTTTGTATTTTTAGCGTCAGTGAATGCATGATACTTAATACCAAAAAGTCATGTTGATAGCACTTACTGTGAAAAGGGTGCTTTTAGTTTGAAAAGCAACATTAGGGCTTTTTTCATTCAGTTCCAGTATGTTTTTTATAAAGCCGACAGAGATGTGCTTTCCTTAAAAGGAAACCTTTTTTTTCTTATTAAGGCTACTATAAAGCAGGGGAGAGAAATACTATCGGCAGATAGCGAGAAGACTTCATAGGTTACAACAACATTACTCTTTATTTTGAGGTTTTCTTTGTTACCAAAAATGCTGAACATCTTAGAAACCTTTCGGACTGTAAAGGAAAGGGTTTAAATTTTCTTGGGACTATATTTCTGTGTTCGTCTCAGCTTCTAGCTACACAAATCCCTAAATGAAAAGAGTTAAAAACAGTTTTTCATTGCTGTTCTTTCAAAATTTGGCCTGAAATCTGTGTTAACATGACTATTAACAGAAAAAGGAGTTTTATTCTGCTCTCATAACTTTCTATTCTAAATTGTCGGAAGTATAAATTGGTTTATAAGAAAAGCAAAGAGCTCTTGTTAGCAAACTTTACACTTAACCCACACTTGTTTATAGTCTTCTAACTTTCTCCTCATTAAACTAAACATATATAATATAGAATATATTTGGTCACCGCCTTCCTTGAGTTGGTACTTTGAAGATTGTCTAAAACCCTCTTTCTTGTTTACAATCATTAACTAATGAACAGCCATCACTGCCGCCCTTTCCAGCTCTCTTACGTATATGTTTGCTTACTCTGTCCAAGCAGCCAATGACACCCATGTAACCTGGACCATTAAACATTCTCAGAACAATAATCGTGAATGCCAAGAGTTTGGAGAATTCTGAAGCTAAGGTGAGAGCAAACATGAAGGCAGGAAATGATAAAAACTTCCAGAAAGTCTCCAGTCCACTAAACCTGAAATAGGAGGCGGCTTTAAGCAGAGGTAGAAATGGCAGCTATGATGATTATTCTATCAAAATAAAAATGTATTTTAAAAAAGCCATCTATGGCAGGGGGGAGGCAATCCTAGCACAGTCAGAACAATGAGGAAGACCATGTTTCTTTAGATTCCTTGAACCTCAATGTTCCAGCTTCTGAAAATAACTGCTGTATTGATAAGAAAGAAACATTCACGTTATGAGATTCTTATGCTAAAACCAATGTAACGCAAAGTATTTTTTGAAAGGAATCAGCCCTGACACCCTGAACAGATTGGTGGGAAGCAACAATTTTAATCTGAAGCATTTTTTACTCATCAGCCATCAAACATGATGAGCCTTTGTTGTGCATGTGTTCTAATTGGGTAGACAGTGGTCGGTCAAAGTTTATGTGTTGGTGATGGTGCATGAGGTAGTCACACCTGAATTTGCATGTCAATGTGAAGTGAAGGGCAGTGTGCATTGTCCTCACTTTTCATCCTCATCAATCAAAGCTATGATGTTGTGGTCAGGATCACACTGATGTGGGACTGAGGTGCTTCTGGATACCAACCTGATAAGAGCCAGACCAAATAAGAATTGTTTGCCATTTATTATTCCTTACCCATGCCATTTCCTTTTTCCCTTTCTTTGTGAAGATCTGCATAGCTGTGGGGTATCTGCATTAAGAAAGGTGGAGTGGCTTTAAGGTGGGCTTCACCTCAGTGCACATAAACAACTCAAGTCAAAGTGAAATGTCTCTTTTTGTTTCCCAGAGGTCCTGCCTGCATGCCTCCAGGAGACAGAAAGAGGGGACAAAAAGGAGGCAAAGACCTCCTGGGTCTCTGTTAGTTTAACAGTGGGCCTCTATCACACACAACAACTCAACGATACACACACACTATCCTCTTACATAACCATGTGAGTTAAAGTTTCAGAGTTCCCTCATCATTTTCTTTTTCTAAGTACAGTTAAAATGAAAGCAAAGAGGTGGAGAAGAAGGACAACTGAAGCCAGGAAAAGGATAATGATGAGTTCATGGATTTACTGGAACTCCAGGTACAGTACGAAATAACCTGAAATACCCTAGTCTGGGTGAATACCCTTTTCT